GTGTGTTGGGGGGTAATGTTCGTGTGTGTGTGAGGATAATGTGTGTTAGGGGGTAATGTTCGTGTTTATGTGAGGATAATGTGTGTTGTGGGGTAATGTTCGTGTATGTGTGAGAATAATGTGTATTGGGGGGTAATGTTCGTGTGTGTGTGAGGATAATGTGTGTTGGGGGGTAATGTTCGTGTGTGTGTGAGGATAATGTGTGCTGGGGGGTAATGTTCGTGTGTGTGTGAGGATAATGTGTGTTGGGGGGTAATGTTCGTGTATATGTGTGTATGAGGATAATGTGTGTTGGGGGGTAATGTTGGTGTATGTGTGTGTGAGGATAATGTGTGTTGGGGGGTAATGTTCGTGTGTGAGGATAATGTGTGTTGGGAGTAATGTGTGTGTGTGAGGATAATGTGTATTGGGGGGTAATGTTCGTGTATGTGTGTGTATGTGTGAGGATAATATGTGTTGGGGGGTAATGTTCCTGCATGTGCGAGATGTGTGTGTGTGTGAGAGAGAGGGCAGTAAACCTGTGTATGAGAGGATAATGTTTGTAATTGTGTGTGGGGGGGGTGATGGTATGGAGGAGGGGCAAGTGTGTGTGTGATTATGGGGGTAATGTTTGTGACTACGTGTGGGTTGACTGTGGTTGTGGGGGTAATGTTTGTGAGTTTGTGTATATGTGCGAGGGCAGTGTGTGTCTGTGCAGGGGCGTGAGGAGAGATTATAAACTCCGCTGGGAACACTCTCAAACAGCAATACTTCTGCTGGGGGTGGGGGGCACGAATCTTATCATTCACCCGGAATTATGAAGTTTGTGATATAATCTCGTGGGAACGATGGAAGTTTAAAACGTTTCCAACAGAGAAGTAGCAGACTTAAAGATAGAGTCTTCGGTGCGAGATCTGTAACCGCCGCTTACCAGGGACTCCTCTTTACCTCATCTTGCCCCCGCCCCCCTCTCTCCCTCCCTCCACAAACACAGGTTTCTCTTTAATCTGCGAGTTTTAGGATATCCCCCGCCCTTTTCACTGCCTCAATCACCAAATCTACCGACAGAGAGAGGCACAGAGAGGCCTTTTTGGAATGGAGCCGCCTGTCAGGAATAAGATCTCCACTGGGAATTCTTTTAAAAAAAAAATAAAGATACATCTCGGGTGGGACTATGCAAATATAAAATTATACTTTAAACGGGACTGGGGGGTGTGTTACAGTGGAATATTGGGCCTTGTTCAATGATTTATTTGAGGAGCGAATACACTGGGTCGACTTTATCTGAAGGAATACGGATTCTCATCAGATGTGAGTGGGGCCGCCTCGGGCCCTTAGGATTTGATGTGTGGGGCTTGGAGAGAGTAATTTCCACTCGCACTGTATATGTATTTGGTGTATGTTTCTCGTGGGGCACCCTGAGTTTATATCGGTGAATTGATGTCTGAGTCCGTTTATGTCTACGTTTGTTGTGCCTCTGAGTCTATGCGTGCCTATGTTTGTCACTTCCCTCTTATCGCGAGTCTGCGTGTCTATGTCCACCTGTGTCACTCTGAGTCTTTGTGTCACTCACTCTGAGTGTGTCCAAGTCCCTGTGTGCGGCTCTCTCTGAGTCTGTCTATAGGTGTGTCTGAGTCTCTGTGTATCTTTAAATCTGTGTCTCTCACTGGTGAGTCTGTGTGTCTTGTCTTTGAGTCTGTGTCTCTATCTGTGCGTCTGTGTCTCTCTCTGAGTCTGTGCCTCTGTCTCTGAATCTCTGAGTTTGTGTGTCTTTGAGTCTGTCTCTTTGAGTTTGTCTGGCTCTCCGTCTGAGTCTGTGTCTCACTCTCGGAGTCTGTGTCTATGTCTTCTCTTTGCATCTCTGTCTTTTACCCCCCACCATCCCCACAACCTTCCCATCTACATCAGATCTGCTTACTGATAGTGGAAAACGGGGTGTGTTTGTATGTGTTGGTGTGGGGGGGGGGTGGTGTCAAGCAGATAGACTCGGCCTTCCATTGGCTGCGCTCCAGCATTCCGCGCTTATGATTGGCCGAGGGAGGCCACTCGGCCAGCGGGGTTGAGGTTTTGGGGGGGGAGGTGAGGAGACTGGGAGCGGTCCCGGCCTTAAAGGGAACGGGGGAGCGAGGGCAGGGGGAGACAGAGAGAGAGAAACGGCGGCAGCAGCCGGGGGGTGGGTGGGTAGGGAGGGAGGGAAGGAAGGAAGGAAGGAGGAGGCTGGCGAGATGCCATTCACTCACCGGGCATCACCCTCCACATAAAGAGAAAGCCGCAGCCCAGTGCAGCTGTTTATATCTGACCCTGGCACTCACCCGTTTTATTTATTTCTTTTAAAAATAAGTGCCTTTGATTCTATTTATTGTTTTATTATTGTTATTCTTCGGTCCACCCCCAGCCTCCCAAAGATGCCGAGAGGATTCCTGGTGAAAAGGAGCAGGAAATCGACCCTGGTCTCTTACCGGATCCGCTCAGAAGATGCAGCCGAGCCGCCGCCGGTGCTGGAGACTTTCCCGGTCCCCGCCTCCGGTTCCCCCCGGGGTTTGTCCAGCGGGGGCCCGGCTTGGCCCCCGGAGGAGGATCAGCCGCCTCCGCCGCCGCCGGTAGCGAGCCCGGTGCGGCCGGTGAGCCGGGAGCACGGCCCCCGCTTCCTGAACCTGGCGTCCCCGGTGGGCGGCGAGTCTTTCCCGAAGCCGGCGGCTCCGTTCGCCGGCGCCTTGGACCGGGCGCTGCTGCTGGGGCCGGCCGACGGGAAAGTGGCCTCGGCGTACGGGTCAGCGCCGGGTCGCCCGGCGGCTCCTCCTCACCAGCACCACAACAACAACAACAACAGCTGCAGCGGAGGCGGTAGCGCCGGTCAGAACAGGGGCAGCCAGGTCGCGAAAGCGGCCGCCCCTAAGAAAGCCAAAGCCATTAGGAAACTCAACTTCGAAGATGAGGTGACCACCTCCCCGGTGCTGGGCTTGAAGATTAAGGAGGGTCCGGTGGAGGCTAAGCCCAGGTCGGGGTCAGCAGGAGGTGGTTTTGGTGCTAGTGGTGGAGGAGGAGGAGGGAAGCCCCTGGGGGAGTTTATTTGCCAGTTGTGCAAGGAGGAATACATCGACCCGTTCTCGCTGGCCCAGCACAAGTGCTCCCGGATCGTCAGGGTGGAGTACCGCTGCCCGGAATGCGACAAGGTCTTCAGCTGCCCCGCCAACCTCGCATCGCACCGGCGATGGCACAAACCCCGGGGCCAGACCCCGAGCGCGGCTGGCGGTCACCCTCTCACCTCCAGTGCCACCAACACTAAAGGGGAGCCCGGTAAACCCAGCCCCGGGGAACCCCCAGCCAAGGAGCTGAGGCCAGAGGCCGGAGACCGAGATACCCCGAGCCCCGGCTCGGCTCCCTCCGAGTCCGGTTCCGAGGACGGTCTCTACGAGTGTCACCGGTGCGGCAAGAAATTCCGGCGCCAGGCTTACCTGCGGAAACACCTAGCGGCTCACCCAGGGGACGCCTCCTCCTACCCCCCGTTCCCCGGTAGTGCTGGTGCTGGTGGTGGAGGAGGAGGGGGGGAAGCGCCCGAGAAGAAGCTCCCAGCCCCCGGCCAAGTCTCCAAACCCGGCTCCGAGTACCAGCCGTGCCAACTGTGCGGCGAGAACTTCCCCAGCAAGACCAGCCAAGAACGCCATCTCCGTCTGCACGCTTCTGAGGTGTTCCCTTGCAAGTACTGCCCGGCCACTTTCTACAGCTCTCCTGGACTCACCAGACACATTAATAAATGCCACCCGTCAGAAAACAGGCAAGTGATCCTTCTCCAAATGCCAGTGCGCCCTGCCTGTTAGAAGAGGAAGGGAGAAAGAGAGAGACGGGGGTGACAAACCGTGCCTTTCTTAGTTGCTACTTACCGACAACCAGAGAGGGAGAGAGAGAAAAAAAGTCAAACCAACTTTGCTGTTCTTTTTTGAATGCTAACGCCTTTTCCGTATACCTTCATCTCACAGACTGCACCTTTCAGTCGAAACAATAACAGCTTTAATGTAGCTTTGTGATATGCTGGACACTTGGAGATTTTTTCAATTGTCTTGAACAAAGCAGTAATTAGAACGTTCCTTTAGATTAGCCACAAATGCCTTGGATTACTGATCCGAATGTTTCACCACAATGATGTAAATGCCTTAATTTTTCGAAGCTTTCCACGTTTTTACCTTCAATGGGTTTGTTGCATATAATTTTACTGTCTGAATATATGTATTGATTGCTAAATGAATACATTTTATAATTTATTCGTTTTATTTATTTATTATAAAAAGTTATTGTGATAATATTGCATTCTTTCGTTATCTATTTTGATGTTGCGTCTGTTTGGTTCAGTAACTTATGACGTTCCGTTTTTCGTAAATTTCAAACCGAACTTGATTTTGTGAACATACATGTAGGTTTTCTTTGCTCATTTTAAACGCCATCGTTTCTGCTCCCCTCCCATCACCCACTCGTGTGAAGCTGACGACTGCTCTTAAATTAAATGCAATCCCTTTTTCTACACAACTTATTTTCTTAACTGTTAGCTTTTATATAGTGGTTCCAAATGTATGTTCCCGACTGTGTTTGTTACTGGATATTTACATATATTAAAATACATATAAACTATCCGTGGCCTCGTGTCTATCGTTTATTCCCGTTTGCAAACAGATTCAGTTATACAGGGAGGATACAGGTGTTCTCTAACCACTGGGTGTCTGCGTATTCGTTCCGGAAATATGTTTGGTTCCTATTTGTTGATTGGGTCTGTATGGCGCTGTTCAATACAGAAGTACGTATTATTTTGAGAGAGATATACAGACACCACTTGCTGTTTAAAAATAACACTTTTTGAAAAGAAAGATTGTTTTAAAAAACACTTTTTGGTTTAAAAAAGTTGTATAAATAGTTCGCAATTTAAAATGTGAATGTTAATATTAATTGTAGTAACCTGCCACACATGACTACAGAGCTGGAATCAGAACTGAGAGACAACTGGTGGTGTTAGAACCACAGAGAGGGCTAACACTTAACAGCATCATTCTGACATGTCGGGCTAAAGTGAACTGACTCTCTGCAGAAATACTTTCATCTTGAAGTCACAATCGAGAGGGACTTTCCCAAGGTACAACACTCGCTTTACACTCTCTGTCACTTTAAAATGGTCTGGCAGAATCTATGGCGAGAGAAACAGAGGCGGCTTCGCTCGAGAAAGAAAGAGACAGGATCAGCTGGAAATTTGAAAAGCGATTCTCTCTCCACAGATGCTGCCAGACGTGCTGATTGTGCGGTAATTCTTGAAATGGTCTTGCCAGAAAGAAAACCGTTTGATATCTTCCGCTTACCAGATTCACCAATATTTTGGTGTATTTTTCTTCACCAGATTAGTTCCGTTTACAAATACTTCATGTTTCGCTTAGACATTGGTTTTTAGAATGAAGCGTTTCATAGAAGGCTGGTACGGTAAAGATATAACAAGGTAAACAAACCGTCTAAATTTTCAAAATGATCAAAATCGAGTGGGAGTGGGTTGATACTCTTGTGAGGAACACTGATGTGGTAACTTAATAGTAAGAAGGCACATTTTAGAAGTGGAATTACATTTCTTTGCATGTACCAGTTCAAACCAAACATAGACTTGCCCTCACCTTCATTTATTCAGCTTCGAATACCGTAGGACTATCTACACTATATATACAATCTTTATTCCTAAAGAACAACAAAACAGTGAAGCTTAATATCACTGACAGCATTTTAAACAGTCAGAAACACGAGGCAATTCATTGATTTATTAATACTCTGATTCATGCGGCCTATTCATCTCCAATTTCAATTGCCTTTAGATTGCAGTTGCTTTTACAATGTGGAGCATGTAGGCCGCGTCTACAGCATCTCCGGGGAAGGCAAATGTAGATATCTGACAGCATTTTCTCACTGGGACTAGGAAGTAACAGGGTTAGGCAAGTAATCCCGGAAGGAGTTATTGTAAAATGCGTGATCTTTCTTTTTCTTAAAAAAAAATAGGAACTTTACCTGCCTTGAAAGTTTCTTAAATGTCACGTCAAAATTTGTAATACAAGGTTTGAAATACTGAAGCAATAGATAGGAATTGCTGGAGAGAAACCCAGAGGGTCTAACAGCATCTGTGGCGAGAGAAACAGAGTTAACATTTCGCCTCCAGTGACCCTTCTTCAGAAACCTCATCAGCAGAGGTTTGAGAACGTTAACTTCGATCTTTGTTCAATGTTGTGACTCCATCATTAAGCCAATGCATTGGATCACTGGTGTCTCAGTTGATTGTACATAGTTCAAAGGAATTGTTTGGTCTCGGAACTTAACATCCCATAATACAATCGCCAGCGCCCAAAAATATTTACACTAAAAGGTATGCAAACTTGGCACCTTTTGGCATCTTGGCTTTGCTAATGACGTTTTGTGCCTGCCTTGTGGGATTCCTAATTCTGTTGTTCTGGCTGATATGGCTTAATGGAGAATCTCCATTAACTGGGTCGGAAATTTCCCAGAGATAGTAGGAACTGCAGATGCTGGAGAATCTGAGACAACAAGGTGCAGAGCTGGATGAACACAGCAGGCCAAGCAGCATCAGAGGAGCAGGAAGGCTGACGTTTCGGGCCTAGACCCTTCATCAGAAATGGGGGAGGGGAAGGGGGTTCTGAGCGAGGGGGAGCGAGGGGGAGGCGGATAGAAGATGGGTAGAGGAGAAGATAGGTGGAGAGGAAACAGACAGGTCAAAGAGGCGGGGATGGAGCCAGTAAAGGTGAGTGTGGTTGGGGAGGTAGGGAGGAGATAGGTCAGTCCAGGGTCCCCCTTGGTCCGCCCTGCTGCTGATAACACATGTACACGGATGAGTGATGTACAGGGTGGTCGGTCAGGGAGGAGGATGCATTTCTGACGCTGGGTTCTAAAATAGTTTGATAATCTTCGAAAGGATTTAGTGACTGGGATCTGGAATATTCTGAAGACGCTGTGCACTTATTTTGGTACATCTTCTGACGGTTAGATGGCCAGAGGCCACTACATAGAATTTAGCGCATAGGGATACAACTGATAGATGAAAACAGATCTAATTTTATTTTCAACTGAGCCCGCCGTTCTCAAGCAATTTTGCGAAGGGCGATTGAATTAAATAGTAGTCGCTGGGTTGGAGTGTTTTTAGATCAGAAAGAAATATCAGTAACTTGCTACAAAGTATGATTTGAGTTAAACTACTTGTTTGACTTTAGATTTAGCAACTTCGCTGGATGAAACATTTAGTTTTCTAAATGACAACTTGCAGATCTTAAACTTGCCGCAGTGTGGACAGCTACGAAAACAATGGGTTGGGAGGGGGGGCAATGGACTTTTTTTCTGTGTGTGGTAAGGATAAGGAATGTTAAAGAGGGATTTCCTTCAGGCTGACGGCATTATAAGGGAAATCCACGTGTTGAAGTTCATTGGTCATTTCTAGTTAAATGATGGTCACGCTCTAAAAGAAGGGGATTTTCCCCCCTATAGGTTTGCAACATTTCCCTTCCACCAGTTCATAATGTCTTTAATGATGAGAGAAAATCTCCCCATTGGGAAAGGGAGTCCATCATTGCACCTGACTATTGTTTTGCAGCTCTCCATGTGGAAAAGATTTTCATTCCTCATCACTGGGGATAAATAACAATAAATGATCACACACACACATACAGGAACTACTCTTTACTTTCAATACATGTCAGTGGCAGTCTAAAGAAAATGATTTTTAAAAGTCTTGTCGCCTCTCCTACCCTGTCCATGATTACCGGTAAGATTAATGCAAGTAACTTGCAATATGAGCACTCGAGTCAGTTCTCCCTTTGATTTGCATGCTGGCTCCTAATGTAGCCAGACAGAAAACACCGGCGACAACAAGCTGCATTTTAACTGGGAACAATCTATGAACGCAACAAAGCTCGAATTATCCTGCTCTGCAGATTTTGCTGCAAATATACATTTCCCTTCAACAGGTGGACATTTCATACATAGATTTTAATCATTTAGCAACACCCGCTGTGTTTAAAATTTCACAGCAGAGATGAGAAATGACGCTGGGCAGAGCCAGCATCAATCCAAGGGTAATGCGAGTGTCCTGGATAGCTTCGTGTCTGAGTAGTGTAAAGAAGTAAACATCTTTCTGTGTCTCACGGAGCACGAGTGGGAAGGAGAGGTTTGCAGCAATATATGAAGCTGATGTAGGTACTTCATGGTATTGACATAAGGGACAAGTCAAAAAAAGCTAATCGTTCACATACAACATCTCTCTTCCCGTTCGTCCACTGCTCGACATTTCAATGCTTATGGGGCTGATTGAGTTGGTTTGTTTCCCCGATTTGATTGAATAATCCCATCATTTCGAGTCTATTTTGCAGCAAAAAGAAAGATTTTAACATAATCACGGTGACACTGTCCAGTATATGACTAAACCCAAGGCAATCCCTTTTACTTGACATTTATGAGCAGAAATCAAGTTAGAACTCATCTTCAAACACAAGATTGAAATCACCAAAGAGCTATTCATTTTTAAATCGATCACTGCTGGCATGGAAGTTTAGCTTGTGGGATATGGTGTCTCTTTCCCGATGTCAGTCAGATAAATCAAAACCTCATTTGTCTTTAACGATTAGCGTTAAAGATGAACGACATTCGTGAGGTTTGGGAGCTGTGATAATATTTAATTACATCACGCCTGTTGCGTTCGTTTTTATTTCAGTCGCCATGTCCTTCGTATATGTTATTGTCTTTAGTGTATTTTTGAACGCAGAACCCCTGGGTAAAGGCAACCGCACTTTAACTCGATTCCGATATTTCATTCAACTTCTCATTCTATTTGAAAAGTAATTTTCAATGAAATAAAATGGGAATTATAGAATCCATGAATTTTATTTCATTGAGAATTACTTTCCAGCTGATAACATGCTGCCTCTCTCTCTCTCCACCAAGTTTTTTGTTGTGGGGTTGGGGGGTGTTTCAGCCCAATTCCGGGCCAGGGTCACAGAATTGCACCGCGGTTTTCCCCAGTCCCACGGGATTGCAAACAGCACAATGCCATGTCCAAACAAACTTGTTAAATGTTGTCCAACACGCCGTCCATTGGGAATGCACTTTAATGCAGGATAGGTGTGGTAAAGCAGACTGGTCCTCATCCCCAAAGACTCTGTCTTTAGAGACAACTTTTCTCCCAGTTGAAACAGCAAGTTAATCAACCCGACGCTGGTGTAGCGGAGCAGGAATTCTATTTTGGAATGACCCAGGGTAGAGTGGTGCAGCTTAGAATATTTGAGCAGCTTGTTGCATTACCTCGATTGAACGTTATAAACTGGAGGATGTTACATGTCTTGGTTTAACCACAGAGATTGCTGGAGAAATTCAGCAGGTCTGCCCACCTCTGTGCAGGGAAAACACAGTCAACGTTTCGAGTTTTTTTTAACCTTGCTCTTAGTATGGAGGACAGTTTCATCCTCATTGCACCCATTTTACGGTTTTATCCCCTCACCGCCATTAACAACCTCTTTGTTTTTCTGCATTGCTGTTCTTCTGCCTCTGTGAAAACTATATATACTTTAAA